GTCGGCCCCCCCCCCCCAGCTCCCCAAACACCTTGGCTCCGCCGATCTTCTCCTCTTGCACCGCAGAGCCCCGTGCCTCTCAGCTTCCATCAGGCTTCGCTCGTTAAAGACACATGGTCATGCGTGTGCGGGCACGTACTCCGTTATGGTTTTAGTTTCCTGCTCCTGATTCCCTGTCCCGCCGGGACAGGTCCCGACTCCTGCATGATATTTTTCCCTATTGTTTCTTCACCTTCCAGATCGTGTCGTCCGCATAGGGCCCGGAAAGAACTGTTTCCTGACAAAGGGCAGACGAGCCGCAGCTATCTGATCCCTCCAGCTCCCCCTGCAGCCTGCAGAATCCTTTTTCTTTATGAACAGTCAACATGTTCTCTCCCACATCTTGGAATAAACGTTCCATTACAAACTATTCCTCCAAAACCACGAGCACTGGGCAGCTCAGAAGCGCGAGCCTTTCTCCTCTGCTGCTGATAAGGGAGAGATTTACTCAGCGTTTGGCGTCTGTATTTGTGCATGTAGGCAGACGTTTGGGTATTTTAATTAATGGAACTGTTATGAGCGGTTGAGACAGTGTTAATTGGGAATGTTATCTGATAATTGCCTTAATTATCACATGGGTCTGAAATGACACGCCCTCACTAGACAGCATGAAATCACACTGTGCTCCCGGAAAACTCATCGTACGCCGAAATTCCGGTCTTGTTTCTACTTGTCTCGGCTGTAGCTGCAGACCACCAGGGCATCACTGCTGGCTTGATGACCGGGTGAGAGGCAAGGCCACCGGGAAGAGTCAGCCAATTCCAGCGCACAAGCCCCATCCGAGCACTCTTCCCACTCGTCTGGCTGGGCGACTGATGAGTCTTCCCATCTGCTGTCCTGCCTGTCAAGCACCTTGTGAACCTCTTCAAGCAAACACGCCGCCCCGAGGCTCAGCTCTGGGAATGGTGGCGTGGGACAGGAGAGGGCCTGGCACAGTCTGGGCGAACGTCAGGGCAACAGGTGAATTCGAACTCCAGAGCTGCTGTAACCCCGCAGC